CCGATTCAAACATAATTGTCATGCATTACGACGATATCGCTAACGCTAAACAAAATCCAATGCCAGGTGTTGTCATCAATCGGCCCAACGGTCCCGATGTCTATAAAGGAGTTCCTAAGGATTATGTCGGCGAAGATGTCAATCCTTCCGTCAGTTTAATATATAGATTTTAAATTAAATTTATGTTATTTATGTTTCTAGTATTGACAACACCTACAGTACAATATATTTGTATTATATTTGTAGAACTTTTTATCTGTGCTTAGAGGAGACTCCGTATTTGCTCGTGATCATAAAAAGGTGGTCAATAGTGGACCAAATGATCATATTTTTGTGTATTTTGTTGATCATGGATCTAATAGTGAGTATTATTTTCTAGTAGTTCAATTTAGTTTATAAAATAGCAAATAATTTAACTGATAAAAGCTAACAAATGTTTAATAATTGATAATGAATGCAATGAATAGATTTGGTTGCGTTTCCACACAAATACCTTTACGCAAAAGAATTGGCCGAGACATTGATTACAATGCATAAAAATAATAGATTTGCAAAATTGGTCTTTTATATGGAGGCCTGTCATTCAGGTTTGTACATATTATTGGTGATTATTATTGTATTGTATTGTATTGTACAATATAATAATACTGTACATTTGATCATCATAACTTATCAAAATTATTTGTTGTAAAATATTTTTGTTAATTAAAGGTTCAATGTTTGAGAAGCTGTTGCCAAAAGACATCAACATTTACGTGACGGCCAGTTCCGGACCAACTGAGTCGAGTTACCTGTGTTGGGACGACAGCAAGATTCACACCTACTTATGTGAGTAAATCAATCAATGAATTCGTTGTAAACTTATTATATGGTTATTAATGATTTGTGTGTAATTCAATGTGGTATACAGCGGACCCCTACACCGCCGCCTGGCTTTATGATAGCGAACACAAGGATCTGACCAAAGAGACCCTTCAGGAACAGTACAACTTCATTGAAATGGTAATCAACAAATCAGTTGATCACAAAATACAACACTCCCATCAATACGGAGACCTATCCATTGCCAAACTACCGGTGTCTCAGTTCTTGGGCAGCAAAAAACCACCTCAAGCTCTCAATATAGCTCTCGAGCCTAAAGACAACTGCGATGCCATCCCATCACAAGATGTCTTCATTCATATCAAACAAAAACAGATTTCGTCCACAAATGATATCAATGAGAAACAGAGGTATTAATCGTTAATATTGAAAATGCTTTGTTTTATTTATGTTTTAATTATTGTATTTTAATTTTTTTATTAGATATTTGTCTGAATTGAGTGATGTATTGAAAGGCAGACAATATGTGGATAAAGTGCTGTACGAATACATAGAAAGTATTAAACACTTGACAAACTTAGACACAAATTCTGTTTTAAACACTAAACAAGAGCTCAATAATATGGACTGCTATCAAAAATTTGTTGACACTTTCAATGATAAGTGTTTTAACATAAATGAGGTATTAATTAATGATTTGAATTTAAAATGAAATATTAGAAAATACTAATTATTGATTTGGGAAACAATAGCATAATTACGCTTTTAACAAATTGGGAGTATTTGTTAATATTTGTGATGCGTTGGGAAAACCAATTGATGTGGACATTGCTGTCAACCATTTAAGCGTTTTCTGTGCCAAATATTCCGACCACTCATTCAATAGTATTCAATAAATTTCCAAATAAATCATAAAATATGTAATTTTTTTGAGTAATTATTTTACATGTACTAATAAATTCATGAATTTGTATATGCATTTATGTTCATTATTTTATTTTCAAAACATTTTGATCATTTCAAATGGCATTAATTATTAAAGACAAATAACTATTTTTCATTTCTATAATAACTACAATAACGGATGATATAATAAGTTATATATAGCACAACATAAGCATTTTGATTGTTATTGAAAACATTGAAATTTTAATTTATAATTGGTATTTTATTATTACAAAGATAGTGAAAGTTATTTGCTCATCACAGCGTGTTTACCATGAAGTTATGTTAAACAGCGTAAAATGAAATGTCTATTTATTGTCATGATAATTTGTATGAGCCTAATATGCTGTGAGTATTATTAATGATTTAGATTATTAAACATTTAATTAATATTTTTAATAATTTATTAATAAATAATTTTTAAAATATAATTTATTACTAATTTAAATTAATTAAAAAATTAAAGCGATTCATTGCCAATATTATCGGCACAAACTGGTCGGTCGCGTTCAGCCCCTCATAACTGAATACGAAGGCCATTACGACAGACATCGGGAGGTTA